CTCCGCCTCTCCCCTGCTCGTCACACAGCCAGAGTTAGAGTTATATTCAAACGAGTAGATAATTTAAAAAAAAAAAAAAAAAAAGGTAGCCAACTATATAAGCTGTTTTCTAAATTAAACAAGCTCTAGACATATTTAGATGAAGTGATCTCTCATCTTGGGTACATGTTCAACAGCAGAAATGCTAATAGAGCGATCTGACATATCTTTGCCTTTAATCTGTTACCATGGCGACGTCGCCCCCTCCCTCCCCATCAGCAGTAGCAGCCTCTTTTTCACACGACAACAAAAGCATCACTGCTGCTCAGTTAGCACACACACACACCTACACACACACACACACACACACACACACACACACACACACACACACACACACACACACACACACACACACACACACACACACACTCCTGCGTTAGCCACTCAGGAGATTACATTTTTCTCTTCAGAAAAGTCCCAGTAAGTAACACTAAGATGAATATCAATGACAATGACAACTTTTAGTACAGTTGTGTGTGTGTGTGTGTGCGTGTGTGTGTGTGTTTTGCAATTAAAATTATATTTATTTATCTGTTTGCATGAAATATCTGAGCAAAGTTAAATTCCCTCAACATATAGATGCAGTAGTATACTGAATTTACACAGAAACATCTGATTCAAGGAGTCTGCTCCATACTGAAAAATGTTCACATACATTTAAAATACTGTACTTTCTTCATACAGACATACATTCACATGTGTGATCAGGTTTTTCACCCTGAGCACAAAGTCTCCACACTGTGCCAAACTTTGTCTGCCTGCAGGTTACTTATCATGTATAACAGCACCACCTTGTGTTCAAAATTGAAACCAACAGCTTTAATGCTAAAGCATGTTTGTACTCTAAATATATACATAATTACAAATATTCTAATACATCCTCAGATAAACTACTGTCTATGAAATTCTCAAACCTAAAAACATTATTTTATGTCAATATTTAAAACTTAAACATCTTCAAAAAACAAAAAGAGAAATCCAGTTGCTTTCTACTGAAGCTCTTGGGATTCTTCCAAAGACAGATTTATTAGCAAAGCACATTTAAAAGCAGCAAGAGTTGAATCAAAGTCATCTACAGGTAGAAAACTAAAACAAGAAACCTGACTAAAAGATAAAACTAAATTTAACTAATAAAATAAAAAGAAGAGCAAAATACAACATAGTAATCAATAAAGGGTACCAGATTTTTCTTGAAGAAAGATCTTAAACAGAGATTTAGTTTTTACAGTCTCAACAGTTCTTAGATGAAAAAGTCAACTGTCCCAGAAAATGAGAGCAGCCACAGTGAAAGCTCAGTGGCCTCCATTTTTGAGCCTTGATCTTGGAATGTTTGAGAGCTTCAGTGCATAACTCTGTATGAAGATACAAGAGTTCTACTAAATAAGGAGGCACCAACCTATTTAAAACTAAAAACAAACAATGAAGTCCTAAAAGCAATCCTGAAGTGGACAGAAAGCCAACAAACCCGGTGTATTCATGAGCTCTTATAAATCTCTTGTCCTGCAGGTTCACATCAAATTGACAGTTTTTGTAGTACAAAATTCCTTGCTCAGCATAGTTCTTTGATGAAGTACAAAAAGACAAATTTGCACGAAAGAGCAAGAGTTTTAGAACAAATCCACTTTAGTAGGTTGCAGGTGCCTTGTTATTAACTTGAAACAGATTTTTTGCACAAAATAAAGACTATGGATTCTGTTCATGATTACTTCCAATGGAAACACTTTAAAAAGAGCTGTTGGTCAGAATGAAGAGGAGCAGTGACAGCTAACAAGACCACATAGGCACCTGACTACTGCTTTGAGACATCCATCCATCCATTATCTATACACCGCTTAATCCTCACTAGGGGCGAAGGCAGGGGACACCCTGGACAGGTTGCCAGTCTATCACAGGGCTACACTTAGAGACAGACAACCAAGCACACTCCCATTCACGCCTTTGGACAATTTAGAATCACCAATTAACCTCTACATGTTTTTGGACCTTGTGGGAGGAAGCCGGAGAACCCGGCGAGAACCCATGCTGCACGGGGAGAACATGCAAACTCCACGCAGAAAGATTCCGGTGCCCCCACTGGGATGCGAACCGGCGACCTTCTTGCTGCGAATGCTTTGAGACAAATTTGAAAAATAATCATCTTGTCCTTTAATGTGTGAATGATAATGTTGGACTTCTCTGTGTGTGTGATCCACGATGTGCTTGTCAGGTTTTTGTCCGTGAGTTTGCTACAGAGTTCTTCTGCCTCTGAGTGGCCAAAACTGGTTCATGCAGCATTAAAACTTACTATGGTTTAAACTTTTAATTGCACAGATGAAGTGTTACACAAACATCAAATCAAAACTCACTCATGATTTGGTCTGTTCCTATTGTAGGTCGTTTATTTCTTGGACACATCAGAGACGCTCTGTCCTGCCAGTTGATGACTAGATTCATAATGATGCAATTTTCAAAGTGTGCCAGGTTCAATTTGCAACAATCTGCACAAACGGACCTCCTTCTGGGTTTAAAAACTCTGGATTGACTAGTGAAGATGCATCAATATTGCATGTGGTTTGAATTTAACAGGACTTTTTTTTTTTTTTAGCAGAAATGTTCAGTAGTTTGGGTGAAATGTTGAGTCTCGACAGACGGTATCGTCCTTGAGCCGCAAGGATTCTACAGGTCTGTGCAAAACCTGATAACCCGTGTTATCGCAGCACGATATGACAAGTGTCCCATCAGTGTTCAGTACAGTTGAGGTCAGGCGACTGCAGAGGAGAGTCCATGACAGTCAGCAGTCCTTGATCTTCTTTGGTCTCCTGCTGGTGTCCTTACATGCACTCTTCTGTTCCTGCCACAAGTCCCAGTCTTGAATTCATCAGTAAAATAGTAAATAAACTTGAGTCTTGTGATGTTTATTTAGCAATTGCTGTGTCTGGCAGAAAAATCGGCGCAGTGTATCGATCTCCTGATGAGGTGCTGTGCTCCGCCTGATTGTGCTGTGGAAATGTTAGTACGCCACACACTGCCCCTTAGTAACCTTCAGTCTAGTCATGACTTCATGCTGAGAAAGCTCCTCTTTGCTCAGAATAACAATCTGATACTTTGACTTAGTTCTGATGCCACTATCATACAGCTTCTTAGTAAACAGTTGTACTGGAATCCTGAGGACCAGGTCATACAGTCGTCCTCAAATGTATTCATACACTTTCATAAAAGAAAAGGCAAAATTCACAA